TACTTTTTGTCAAAATGTTCTATTCTTCCTGCGGCATATTAGTTGGAGTGTGTTGCTCACCTTCAACTAGCATGCCACGGTGATTATGACGCGATGATTCTTGCTTATCCCCTAATCTCCATGGTTTTATTCTGGCTCTATGTCTAGTTAATAGACTGTTGAGGATACTACTACTACTACTTCATACCGTGGAACTTCTCTCAATCGACAACTTCTACCTGGTCCCGATATGTCAAAAATTCTAGTGGGGACGCTTTTGCGATACAGGTTCCACCCAATCGCAGTAGCAGCCGAGATCGAAGCAATGTTTCATCGGGTCAAGGTTCCTAGTAAGGATCGGAATTGTTTGAAAGCCCTGTGGTGAAAGAACGGCAAGCTTTGTTCACCACCTATTGAATACCGCATGACTGTACATCCTTTTGGCGCTACTTCGTCACCAAGCTGTGCTAACTTTGCGTTACGACAACCTAACGTTGACAGTTATTGTGAACCCCAAACAAAGGTTAAAGAAGTACCAGAGAAGAGTTATTATGTCGACGATTGTTTATTTAGTGTTGATTCTGTTCCCGAAGCAAATGAACTCGTTATACACCTTACCCGCATTCTTTCCGACGGAGGATTTCATTTGACGAAATGGATCAGCAATCGAAAGGTTATCGCACATTTATCTGATAGCGAACTGAAGGTTCCCGGAAAAAGATATTCGACTGAGGACGATTGTGGTACAAATGCGCTTGGTTAAAACTGGAACGTCACCCAGGACCACCTAACTTTTAAGCTGGAAGGTTTTAATAAAACGTTGACCCGAAGAGCCATCCTCTCGTTTGTAGCTTCAGTCTATGATCTTCTCGGCCTCATTGCTCCCGTGCTACTTCCGGCAAAGGTACTGTTACAGAGTTTCGTAAAAAGGAAGCTGGATTGGGATGAGCCTCTTCCCGCAGAGGATCAGCAAGCTTGGAACAAATGGTTATCAAACGCCAATGGTCTGAACAGCTTGTCCGTCGAAAGTTGTATTAATCCATTGGGATGCAGTGTATCTTCTATGCAGTTGCATTGTTTTCCGGATGCGTCTGAGGCTGGTTACGGTGCTGCTATATATTTGCGTTGCGACAGTGGTAAAGGCAAGGTTAGAAGTTTGCTGATTATTAGTAAATCACGTGTCAGTCCCATTAGAACGGTGTCGATACCAAGGTTGGAGCTCACTGCTGCCGTAGTGAACATGCGCATGTCAGCGAAAGTCAGAGAGGAGATGGCATCCCAGTGTAGCACAACGTTCTGGACAGACTCGATGGTAGTTCTGAAGCTTTTTCGAAGTGTTAATGGGCGTTTCTCGACGTACGCTGCTAACCGGATTACCATTATACAACGATACTCTCACCCCCAGGCAGTGGCACTACGTAAATTCGAAGAAGAACCCACGGACTCGCGATGTCGCTCAAGAAGGAAATAAACCAATGGATACATGGGCCACAATTTCCCGATCAGCCCCATTCATCATGGCCTATGGATCCGGCGAAATTGGGTGAATTACCGCCCGAATGGTTACGACCCGAAGTTGGTCATGTTTTCTTGGTCACTTTGGAGGAGCACTGGATTAATATATTTAAGGCTTGCATGATATGAACTTCCTTGTGCAAATATTTCGTTACCTTCTTGCGATTTAAATCTTATTTCGAAGCCAAGTGCCTGAGGCGCGCTGCACCTGACCAAGCAGCTGAGATAGAAAGTGTTGAAATTCGACAACCTACGCTTCAGATAGTTAAGTTGGTGCAGCCAGAAGTTTTTGCGAAGGAGATCTGCCTCCTTGCGTACAACAAAACCGACATAGCAGTTCGAAATTTAAAACTGAGGTCATGCAGATTAAGACGACTCAGGCCCTTCTTCATTAATGGGATACTTCGGGTAGGCGGAAGACTGGATCAACTCACGGTACTGTACGACGCGAGGCATCCGATTTTACTTCCCGGCCGCCACTTTGTCACTCGCCTTCTTATACTTCGCTACCCCTACATCAATGGACACTCTGGTGCGCAGCATACTTTGTACGATCTTCATCAACGCTACTGGATCGTGGGTGGGGTTTCATCCATAAGGCGCGTGCTTTCCTAATGTGCCAAATGCCGCGTTAACCATGCGAAACCACTGAGTCAGCTGATTGCACCAGTTATAACAGACGAATGTCTGACCCACCAACCAGCATTCACTGCAGTAGAGATCGAATATGTTGGACCGCTGGTAGTGAAACGTGGCCGCGTACATGAAAAGAGATATGGCTGTTTGTTCAGTTGCTTGACTACACGGGCTGTTCACATAGAGGTTTCCCACTCTATGGATACCGATTGGTTCTTGTGTGCGTTTTCGAGGTTCTCAGCTAGACGCGGATGGCCGAAAGTAATATACAGCGATAATGGACAGAATTTCCACGGAGCGGAAGCAGATTTACGCAATCTTCTGAAGCAGCTGGATCAGATGAAGATCACAAAGCCGATGTTGGCTAGAGAGGTTGACTGGAAGTTCAATTCTCCACGTGTTAACCATTGCGGAAGTCTTTGGGAACGATTAATTCCATCGACTCTCGACGGCGAGGTTGTGACCGAAGAGGTACTTGTAACGACACTCACTGAGATCGAAAGGATATTTATTGAATGACAGGCCTTTGGTAGCGGTACCCGACTCCCCGGACTCGCAAAATGCTATATCGCCTCGGTAACTGTTAATGCTTGAAAATGATCAGTCGCTTGAATACCCACCGACCAACTTACCAATCAAATTGAACAGAAGGTGGAGACAAGACATCTGTCCGATATGTTTTGACGTAGATGGATCAGAGTATATCTACCGATACTGCAGAATAGGCAGAAATAGTTAACTGAAATCTCAGATCTTAGATAGGGCGATTTAGTTTTAGTTTGTGATTTACGCACATCAGGGTGTCGTGGAGGAAGTGATCAAGAGCCAATACCAATTAGTTCGCCAAGCACTGGTGAGGACAAGCAAAAAGATGTCAGACAGCTAATCGTACTAGAAGAGTACCAGGAAGAAGAGGCTGATGACGTGGAAACAATCGTCCAGAATACGAAACCGCCGGGGTAGTGTAAAGTCCACAAGGAAATTTGATGTATCCCCAACCTGGATTGCTTACATGAGGACACGATATCTCTATTCCCTGACTATTCTGCTCATTTTACATTGCTTTACTGCGTCCTAAAATCGGTTATCATATCGTATGTTTCTTCCTTCCACTCCATCACTGACATATCCTTGACGTTTCAAGATCATTCATATTAGTACGTTACTGTGACACTGCCCAAATACTCGCACGCCGCCGCACACTGTACAATTTCTGCCCTCTTGCACTACGATTGCAAAACCTATTCGTAAGTCATGTACTGTATTTAATATGTCTTATAGAACCACGGTTACAGGATAATTCGTTTTATTCGTCTGCCCAGACCGTGAGTTAAGTCTAGGTTTATTTGCTCGTAGGTTCTAGTTTAGTTTTCGTACTACGTACTTAGTTTAGGCTTCGTATCGTTGGTACACGGAGTATGGATGAAGAGGAGGAGGGGAGACGAAGCGATGACTTGGTCAACATGAACGAAGGTCCCCACTTCGGACTACGCATCGGTTGGTGTCTCGCGACTGTCGGGTCGGGGTTCCAAAGACGATGAATACATCTGGTTGGATACACTTCTTTACATAGCGATGGGACAACCGCAATGACGTTCACATTGTACATTTCACTGGCTCGCCCTCTCCCTTGCAACCAAGATCTCAATCTTGAAGCACAATATGATGTTTTCTCCTATATTATCACATCTTTCGATATTACTCAAACTGATGACCCACCGATGTACTGTAAAAACATGGGCACATCGATAGGTCGAATAAATGAGATCTATATCTGATTTTCTCTTGCCCAATAATGGTAAACTCTTCGTTCCACTCAGATTGGTGGCTCTATGAAAACAACAGCACATAGATGAGTTGCATAAATGATATGTATCTTTGACATCTGATTCATTTATACTGTTTCTTACTCTGCTCTCACTCAACCCGATGACCCGCTGATGGCATAGGAAAAACATGCGCGTATCGGCGGGTTAAATAATTTTTTTCTTTAGCCTTCATGCAATACTTCACTCCAGGTAACCAGCTAGATGAAAGGCATGAGTGATTGCAAGAGGTGGACCTACTGAAAGATTGAACCATTCATGCTTTTTCACGAAGCCACCTAACTTAGGTAAGTAATTTTATTTGCCCTGTGTTATCATATTGTATCACGTATGTGAGGCAGGTGGTTCGTTCAAATTAATTTCAATGGTTCATGATGAAGATAATTCGCAGTTTAACAGTTTACCTTCAAAGTGCTATACTGTCTGCTCGCACTATCCTTATTTATAACATAATTGCTACATACCAAAGTTATGAATGATTGCAATTACAAGTTTCCATGTGTATATTGTCATTCTACCTATTTTTCTTTTTGTGCTACACACTGCATAAATATTTCTGAGCGATTCGCAACCGTCAACCGTTTCATAGCCTTGCGAAACAAAAGTAATGGTAAAGGAATCAATGGAAAAGAAATTACATCTGTTCTTGTACAGTAGTCCTGTAATTTCAGTCTGCATTTCCTTCGTGCCTTACGATCGGATAAGCTTTGATGGGACGTGCCTCGCCTAGTTGAGAATTAACCAATTAATTAACGAAGCAATATACTATCTGTTGATTTTTTTGGATTCTACAATGTTCTGTATTTCGCTTTTTCATATACCTTATCTTTTTGTATTACGGCACAATGGTTGAAGTATGTTTATCATCTTCAGCTTGTGTGTAAAGATGATGGTGAACAACTCTAGATGTGAGTAAGCCGCGATTTTCGCATTGTGCTAGATAAACACATAACAGCTTGTACCGGTAGCATGTGTAGAGGAATAAGTCCATCGTCGCACATTCGAAAAAGTATCAAGAGCTAGTTTGCAACTGAAAACACTCACGGGAGGACTTGGATAGGTTATTAGATTGTATTGCTCGAAGTGCATCGATCTCTGCCCGGAGCATTTCATTTTTCCTCTCAAGATCCCGAATATGATCGATGGCCTGACGCAAAACAGCAGATTTATTCAACTGGGGAAAAGTAGGGAGAAAAATAGTATCACCACGTTGTGGAATGTTCTGATATAGTACAGGTGGTGGCCAAAGTGAACATAAACCATCTGGTCAGTTGAACTCGAGTCACCAAATGGCTAAGCACATCGAATGGACGCATGGAAGTTCTACGTAAGGCGGGCAACAGAAGCGAATACACATGATTCGTAGGGTCAATGTCACCCGGATCAAACGTGGCCGGTAAATCAAAGGAATGGTCCCTGATCAGAAAAACATCCGAACTAACGTTAAACATGGACACACAAGGGAATGAAGAGATAGACATGAAGTAAACAAGTACTAACCTTAGCATCACAGTCCGGGTCAGGAATCAGTATTTTGCGCAACTCATCTATACGTCCGTTAATACTGGCTCTGTACCGCTTCTCGATCGCGTTATGTGGAGCCCTTCTAGTGCCCTTGGACTGGCTAAGACCATCAACAGAGTCTGAAACCAATTCAGAACGAGGAAAAACAGTGGAAGAAATCAGAACTTGATAAAATTAATCAAAAGGCGACCGAAACAAGCAGGGAATTAGTGAACAATGGAAGTACTAGAAACAAATACCTAATAATAATAATCAGCAGCAGTACATCAGCCGCTTGAACTGATGCTTCACCGCCATACAAACACAATGACCTAAGAAATGTAGAATGATGTAACAGGGAGAAAATGGGAACCTACTTTTAAAGCCTAACGCCCTGAGTAAATAATCAAGGTTAAGGCGCCCACAATTTGTCAACATCATGCCATCATACAGCTGGTTATTGTGGAAAGATACGGCTGTATCAGCTTCCTTTCGGCTGTCACTGTGCCAAATCATAATCGGTCATTACACCGCAGATAATGCAGCATTAAACAAACTTTAAACAGGCAGTCCGACAAGAACGCGATTGTAGAAGGGCCATAGCAAGCTATGTCCTGTAACATTTCGAGCAAAGCAAAAGATGAATCACGTGGATTCCAGCCTGGAAGATGAGACGGACTAACAGCACCGTTCGCCGACGTTTTCATGGTCAAACTGGAAAACAGCCCACTAAATGAAATGACTAAACGGCTGCCACTTTAAAAGCGATGTGTTGACAAGATCATTTGTGTGGCGGACAAATCAAAAAACCAGATTAAACTGCTACGAAAATTCAATCAAGCACATAGAAAAAATAAATGCTGCATACAATCGGAGTCAGATGGATTCATAGCCTTCCTAAATGTACAAATGTCGCGCCGACCAGACGGAATTTTATAACGTAAATTTTATGAAAAAACATGGATTGGTCAATATACCCAATTTGACAGTTTGCTGCCACATCAACAGAAGCGAAACCTTATCCGGTGCATTACACAAAGAGCAAGAAATATTTGCGCGGAAGACACGAATGAATAGAAGCATATAATAATAAAAGAACCCATTCTTAACAATGACTACCCCGAGTTCTTCAGTGACAGAGACATGCTGACTGACCAGCGAGGTGTTAAAATACCTGCAATAGAAAAGAAAAACGTGTACCTAATATTGCCCTTCACAGGGCGATAACACATCAACACTTATTAGCAGAAGACTCAGAAATGCACTCAGGAACACGAATTTCGCAGGGCAGCTACGAATCTTTTTCACTTACAAACCAATGCTAACCCTATACAAGGGAAGGATAAATTGTCTGTGAAGACCAGCTTTCTGTGTATCAATTTACTTGTTCCTGTGGGACAAGTTACAAAGGTCGCAGCACAAGACGTTTAACCAAACGGGAGCAAGAGCAGAAAGCCATAAGAGAACAATTGTTTTGAATTATATCTTCTTCAGGCGCATGCATTACTAAGCGTGGGTACACTGTTAGGTGTCATTCGTTAGTGGAAAAGAAAAAAGAAACAATTGATTACCAATTTAAAACGACCAAAGCGCCAAATGACTGATCATGTGATTGAGGTCTCAGGATGTTGCTGGCTATGTCCACATTCTCCACATCCGGTGCTTGGCCATGACAGTTTTAACGACTGCACCATTTGCTTTTGCATGCATAGATCAGGTTTTGTAAACCGTATGCATACAGCCTCCGCGGTAGCAAGTACGCTCGCTCCCAATCCATAGCTGTATGTTGTTGGTACTTTGTAGATGATCTTGGAATCCGTTTGTTTGTTTACACAATGACCGGGGTTGAGAAGGTGATCTGTTATTGAGCTGCAAGTTGTCCCATCTTTGTAGTTACTGAGCCAACTCGAGAGATGTTACTTGATTCGCTGACTTAAGTGCCCGGTCGTACGTCCAATGTACCTGGACCCACAGGAACAGGTGAACCGACAATTTACCATCGATTGGAGATGATCGGGCACTCGGTCTTTGAATCTCGGAAAAATTAGCGGTTGGCTCGTGTATACTACCTCTAAATCGGCTGCACTAAAAGTCTTTTCGCACCTTTGTATCAGTCTAGTGTGCAGATGTCTGCGGCATTGTTTCCTTTGAAGGATAGTCAGAAACAATGTCTTCTTTTCGACCGTCTGCCTTCGTACTTTTGGACTTTTCTGCTTCATGTGGGTGGCGATGAAGCGCTCCGGATATCCATTCTCGAGAAGTGCTCCTTTGATTCGCTTAAGCACTTCTTCGATGGTGTCGTCACTGTAGATTTTGTATGCGCGGTTAGTCAAGGTGCGCACCTGTTGCGGCTTAAGGGAACGAAGCTGTGAAAATTCGTGTACTGGCCTGTCCAGTAAGGCTTTCTGTGCAATTTCATCTGGACCGACCGGTTGCTTCGTCTTTTCAAGCTCAAGTCCAAGAAATATATCTGAGCACTAGTTTCCTCTTCAGCTGTGAAAGCAGCATTGGGATGGACTTTGTTGAAACCATCGATTATGCCCTGCATATTTGTTCCCCGATCACATATGCAGAGTATAACAATGCACATCCGTCTGTCACATCAGCACACCCGTATGAATCGTAAGTGACTAGCTGAAAAGGATTGAGTGCGGGATTGAGGCAGCCAGAAAAAAGAGTACAACACTCCCGCGAACGATTGATTTATATACACGGGCTTAATTTCGTAACAGCCCAGTTTATTAACTGATCCGTGCACCTAGTGGCGATGGACCTAGCCTCCTTCACATATACTGCCGGAATACTCATAAGAAAAATGATAATAACGACACAAAAGGAATGTACAATAACTTAAAGTTCACATAGAAGCAAATGATGGCACCAGAGTTTGTTCACTTTCATTGAGCTTGGAAATGGGATTGCAAACGTTTCGTTGCCAATCCAGGTGACTTCAATGCACGAATGATGTCGCCTCGATTGTTGACAAAGCTTACACAGCAAAATCACCAAACTAATCAAACAGTTAAATTACCAGATGCGCATCCTGATATGTAACATTTGCAAGCGAGTCAATGAAGAAAGCTATGAGTATCGGAAAGCTTCCTAGAGTGAACAACAATGGATAGAATCACTACCAGAAAGCTCGTAAGGCAGTCACCTTGGCTGTAAAGTCACCAGCAGACAGAAAAATAGCATAACTGGTGGACCGCATCGCCTCACGACAACAGTCGCAAACTGAAGCAAGTAGATTAACCTAACTTAGCACAGATGCGGCCAGAGGGACACTTTTAGATAATTGTGTCAGCTAGAGACACTTCAGCGCCAAGCTCGAAGACTTGCCATAGGTTGGAAAGACCGTCTTCGATCCACCTCATTGCCCCGTCGCTCTAGTGAGCAAGTATATCGCTCTTGCCATTTGTGTTTTGGCGACAAGGCCAGTGAACGCGAAAAGCTACGGAGTTATCTATTGCATAACAATGAAACTGCGATTAACGTTTAATTACGACAAATAATACCCGCATAACCCTATATGATCACAAGCACGTCAATAATTATGCTTTATGTACCCGGTTCTCAGAATATACCGGTGTAGAAGCCATATTTCTTATAACTCAGAGAACCCGGTCACCTCTGCCAACAAGACTACGTCCCACCAATAGCACATATTCCGCCAGTGGTCACTTACACACAACTTAGTTCTTCGGCACATATTCCGTCAAGCTTTAAGAAATGCAACCGTGCCATTTCGCATCCTAGAGATCCGCTTTTCAGCACGTCGACCTTATGGTTGATAAGGATTTTCGTATGCGCCTCAGTGCAGTTAGCTTTCTTGCCAATGTTGCGCCCAAGAAACGCGCTTATGTTCAGCCGAAAACTCGTCCTTGTGAATACGATTCTACAGCATGTCAGTCATCCAGGCCGCGATCTAAGCCCAATAAAACTAAAGGTCAAGTAGCACATCAGCACTAGAGGCTGACTCAGATTACTAAAGACGATTTGAATAAATTTGACTGTACAAAGTCCGCTGCACATTAGGTAGCCAGCAACCCAGTGTCGAAGATGATAGACTGAATGGTCGCATCGAACATACTTTTAAGTTCTGGGAAAAAAATAAAATATATAAATAAACCGCCAGCTGTACGCTGTAACGGCGCTTCGCTCCTATGCGACCACCACCAGTCGCGCGTGGGCGGGTGTACCGCGAGGACGCCCGCCGATACGCGGGTTCGAACCGGTGACTTTATGGTTGCAAACCAGATGCGCATACCACTCGGCCACCGGACGGAAATAGCTGCAGACGGCCTACGGTACCTAACACAGTGAAAACATGCTTTATACAGCCATGTACAGGACGCCTCTTCCACCTTCCGCTCACAATCCCTTCTGCATAAAACACACTACCACGAATACGACTACGACTATGATGACTATGACTATGATGACCATGACTATGACTATGGCTATGACAATGATGACTATGGCAATGACAATGATGACTATGACTACGACTATGATGACTCATTATGATGATGACTATGACTATGATGACTAGGACTAGGACTACTATGACTATGATGACTAGGAGTATGACTATGATGACTACGACTAAGACTATGATGATTATCACGATGACTATGACTATGAAAATGAATATCATGACTACGACTATGATGATGACTATGACTATGACTATGGCTATGATGACTATGACCATCACTACTATGACTATGATGACTATGACTATGATGATGATTATGACTATGAATATGATGACTAAGACCATGATGAATATGACAGTAACTATGATAACTATGACCATGACAATGACAACCATGAATATGACTACGATGATAACTATGACGATGATGACTATGACAATGACTATAACTATGATGACTACGACTATGATGACGACTATGACTATGATGACTATGAAGGTGATGATGACTATGACCATGGCTATGAACACTATGAGTATGACTATTACTACTATGATGATGACTATGATGACTATGACTAAGACTATGATGACCATGACAATGAATATGATCACAATGACTATGATGATGACTATAACTATATAATGACTACGAAAATAACTATGATGACAGTGACAATGACTGACTATGATTATGATGATTATGACTATCACTACTATGACTATGATGAATACGACTATGAATACCATGACTAAGACAATGATGAGGATGACCATGATGACTATGAATGACTATGACTACGATTATGATAACTATGACTAGTATGACTATGATGAATATGACTATCACGATGACGGTGATAACCATGACTATGACTATGAGTATGATGACTATGACTATCATAGTCGACTATGACTATGATGACTATGACTATGATGACGATGACAATGACTATGATGACTACGACAATGACTATGACTATGATGACTATGACAATGACTATGACTACGATGAATATGACAACAACTATGATGATGACTATGACTATGACTACTATGAGTATGACTACTATGACTATGATGACTATGACCGTGATGACTACGACATGACTATGATGACTATGACGACGATGACAATAACTATGACAATGGCTATGACTACTATCACTATGACTATGATGACTATGACTATGATTATGATGACTATGACCAAGGCTATGACTATGATTATGATGACTATGACCATGACTATGACAAAGATGACCTCCACCATGACTATGACTATGAAGGCTATGACTATGACCACCACTGACTATGATGACTATGACTACGACTATGATGACTATGACTGCTATAACTACGATTATGATGAATTTGACCATGATGATGACAACTATGACTATGATGACTATGATTATGCGATGACTATGACAATGACTATGATAACTATGACAATGATCGTGACTAATATGACTATTACTATGATGACTGTGACTACGAATATGACTATGAGCACTATGACCATGACAATGAGTATCATGACTATGATTATATGATGTCTATGACTATGATGACTATGACTATGATATGACTAATATGACCATGACGACTATGTCTAAGATGATGACTATGACTATGACTACGATGACTATGACTATATGATGCTTATGATAATGATGATGACTATGACAATGATGACAAGGACTATGATGATGACCATGACTATGGCCATCATGACTATGACTATATGATGACTATGACAACGACTACTATGATGATGACGACTATGACTATGGTGATGACTATGACTATGATTATGATGACTATGACCATGATGATGACTATGACTATATGATGACTATGGCTATGCTGACTGTGATCGTGATGAC